ACTTACACAACCATAAATCAAACAATTTAAAGCAAGAATTGGCTTTTCATGTCCTTTGCACTCACCTGGCATGTTGTGGGCCCACATTGCCCATGTCATGTGCTGAACTGGCGGTGATTTGCGTATCAGCAATGGCACCGGATTCCATGCCGAGCGGCTGCTTACAGGTGCCTGTAAGTATGCAATGGTATGGGGTGGAAATTAAAAAGAGAAAGGAAAAATATGATGCCGATGTAGCGAACTGCGCAAGCAGGAATTAAGTAGGTTTTTTTGTATAATATACATACATAAAAATATTTACAAAAGCTATTTGCAAAAGCATTGTTTTCTCGTTTTACTTTTGTTGTGTCTTCGTATGCTTTCACCTTTATTAAGCTTTTTCTAAAATATATAAAGTTAAATGTAAATAACTGCGCGCCTGAATGTAGGCCTTATAATTATAATTTACTACAGGTTTCAGATCTACTTAAAGCGACACAAATTGGCTTTGCGAAGTGTTTTTTTAAGAGGTACGAGTATGTAACCAATAGAATATTCAAATATAACATAAATTTAGTTATACTTAGATGCTAGCAAAATGTGCTTAAAGAATTTCCTTTCTTACGTCTGGTGGCGCGCGCTAACCAAGAATTTATTCGAAGCCGAAATGAAAGAGAAACAGCAGATGATGGAATTAATTTTAAACTTAACACCGCTAGATCTGTGCGGCGAATTTATGTCAAATTTAAGTTCTGCTAGGTTGAATGCGATGGGTAATTGGAGCGGGTAATGTACGATGCTGTTTTCAGACTTGCACTCTCTACCGGAGCTGAAATTATTGGATTCGCAGACGTCATTACACTGCTTATGGTGGCTAAAGACTAAAAAGAAATTGAATAAAAAATAAAAAAAACATGGTAATAGTGCCAGAAAATGGCGGAGCGGAGCGGTCGTTGTTTAATATTCTTTTCCCCTTATGCCTTTTTATTTATTTTTAAGAATTTTCAATTAAAATACAGTTACTTCTCTAACAAAACCCAAGTTTAAAACTTTGTAAAAAAAATTCAATAGATTTTACTCTAAATTTCAAACTTTTTTCTCAGAAGTATTGGGATTTTTTGAGTATACAATTTTTAGAGCTAAACTGTAGGTCCCTCCGCTTGTGTAACAACATCAAGAGGCGCGTCACAAGTTGGAGGATAAGCTCGGCCAAAGACTTAGCAAAAGTGTAAGTACCAAAATATTATTATTATCACGATTGATGACAGCATAGTTTTGCACCGCATGCGAAGTATGTATATAAAACAAGAAGCGCCAAAGTTGTGTGGGGCTCAGAGTGTAGAAATTTAAAATTTTTCCTAATAAAATCTTATATCTCGAGAATGAAAACAACTATCGAAATAAATTTTAAAACCATTTCAAATTTTTTAAGGATACATTAAATGCAGCTTTAAGTCTAAAAAAATACAACAAATTAGATACATTGAATTAGAAGTTACCTCGGCCTTCAAAAGTAACATTTTTTGTGTTTTTTTGTCTCTTTTTGACCTAAAAAAGCATTTAGTGAACTCTTAAAATATTAATGCGCTTTTCGGTTTCTACGACCATGGAAATCGACATCTTAATACAAGGAATAATAGAACGCCCAACATTTCGATTAAAAAATTTAGAAACTAATCCAAATTTTATTTAGAGTTATAAGCGACCCAAGTGTCATATTTCATCATAATTCGTAACGCCGTTTCTGAGTGAAGAGAGGTCTCGCGTTGTGTCAGTTGTAATATCATCAAATTTTAGATCATCCTGTACCGACAAAAAAAGTTTTCCTTTCAAAAAATAAAATCTTATCGCACATCTACATGTCAAGGTCTTTACTTAGACTTTTCATATTAGAAATTTGAAAGAACGGTGCAACTTTAATGGCCCCAATAAAAATTTCTTCTCGTTTAATACATAAACATACTTAGTTAGAACGGTATGACTTTTCGAAAAGGTGGCAAGCCTGATCAACCATATTTTTAAAATAAATAAATCCCTTTCGCATATTTGTTATATTTCATAAAATTTGCGTATAAGATAATTTAAGTAATTTGACTACCAAAATAAGTGTAAATCCTTATCAAAACGTATTTTCAAACAAATCTTCTTAAATATATTTCGTCCAAAATTGTGACCCATATGTGTTTAAATTCACTGATAAATTAAGTTGAATTTGATTTTTCAAATACGTGGAAACCCATTGAAAACCTGTTAAAAATTCATCCAACTTATTAAATAATTTGAATGCAACTTTTTAAACACGTGGCAACCCCATTCACACATTCTAAATGTCTAACCTAAAGATTTCTTGACGTTGTTTCGCTTTTGAGTTAATTCAACTCGAATTTTTAAAAAGATGACAATCTTCTTCAAAAGTAGTAGGTAAAACCTACTTAAACAACCTTTGTCCTATTAAATTAAGTTGAATTAGATTTTTTGAACATGTGGCAACACTCTTAATGTAGTTCGAAAATAAAGCCTTGTCAAAACCATTTCGTTTAAAACCAATATTTTAGTAATTTATATAACTTATTAAATAATTGCAATTTAATTTTTTAAACGGGTGGCAACCCTCTTTAAACACCTCAAACATATTCTAAGTGTTAATAATATAGATTTCTTAATACCCTTTTGTTTAGCACATTTTATTGTGTATAAATTATCTAAATTCGACTTTTCAAACAGCTGGCAACCCTCTGCAAAATATTTACAAACTACTACGTTATTAAACCTTTTCGTCTATGGCCCATACATTTTCTATTACCTAATTCCCTTATTTCAAACTGGATTTAATTTTTTTAAAACAGGTGGCAATCCTCCTTCAGTTAAGTTATGAAACAAAGCTTTTCAAATCCATTTCGACTGATACCCATTTTGTAATAATTGTTTTAACTTTTTAAATAATTTGAACTAAATTTTTTAAAAGGTAGGAACTCTTTTGGAAAAAGTTAAGCCTTACTGCACATCTACAGCCCGAGCTTATTAATTGACACCTCACCTTTGAAAATCGGTTTTTATTTTATTTTAATTGTTCAGCAGGTGGCAACTCTTTTCGAAAACATAAAACCAGTTTGCACATCTACTGGCCAAGCGCTTTAATTTGACACCCCATTTTTGAAAATCGAACGAACGGTGCAGATCTTTTATGCTGCACAAAAAATGCCTTCGCGTATTATATACATACATATATACATAGATATAGATGTGTTGAAAACTTGTTAAAAAGTTGAATGCATATTATTTTCAGATAAAAAATGGAAATAAATTTAAAACCACCTATTTTTGAAGGTCAAATTATCCTTCGTGAATTTTCTATCTCAAGAGCTTTACAATGCTAAATTTATTTCTTTAGATATTAGAATTTATCACGAAGAAAGTTCAATTTCCAAACGCTGGCAAATATTGATGGATGTTTAAGAGGAAAACGTATTCTTCTGTAAAGGGTACCTTGCAGGGAATGACGTTAACTTATACCTAATATTAATCTGTTTACGCGAACACTAGTGCCAACTTCTTCTTCTTCTTTATTGGCGCTGTAACCGCCTAAGCGATTTAGGCCGAGTCCAAAACAGCACACAAGTCACTTCTCTTCTGTGCTAACTGACGCCAATTGGAAATGCCAAGTGAAGCCAAGTCCTTCTCCACCTGGCCTTTCTAACGCAGAGGAGGCCTTCCTCTCCCTCTGTTACCAGCATCGCGGCCCGCGTTGAATATTTTCAGAGCAGGAGCGTTTCTGTCCATTCGAACGACATGACCAAGCCAGCGGAGACGCTGAATTTTAATTCGCCGCACTATGTCTACATAAATCGTGGTAAAGCTCATACAGCGATATTCGCCATCACCAACGCGTAAAGGTCCGTAAATCTTTCGCAGAATCTAGCCAACTACTAGCTTTATATTTTGTTTGTTGTTTTGTCAGACCTGGACACAGTGCACGGACTGCGAAAGAAGTAAAACTGATACTGACTAGCCAGAAATACGATTGCTTTCTAAAAAAGAGAACCATTTTGAAATATGAGTGTTTTTACTCTCTAGAAAATAATTTACATAATTCACATACGCGGTTTTGACCGCAGGGTAAGACCTCTTTTCAGAGCACTTCCATTAAGCAGAATTTAAGAGGTTGGACTTTTAGTTCCTACACTGGCGAATTGCCACCTAAACGTATGACGCTTCGACCTCTTGAAAAAAAATAAAATAAAATTAAAAAAAGTGAGCTGACATAAATTTAAAATTTTACTAGCCACAACTTGCTCAACTGCGGCAACAGTTTAACGAAGCGTACATTAATTGCATTTTGGTGATTTTATTTAATAGGCTCAATAGGAGTTTTTGCTTAAATTTTAGTTAGTTGGCTGTTGACTTGATAAATGGTTGTTATTGCTTTTGATGCTCATATGCTTTATTAAGCATTCTAATTGAATTTTAAAAATGTAACATTCGATTTTTTTTACATAAAATGCGCTTAGCGGAAAAAATAGCTTTACCACAAAAATTTTTGGAAAAAAAATTAGTAAAACAGAGCAGCGATATTACGCTCATCAGTTGCTTGTCAGTTGAACTATAACAATCAACAATTTGCGTAAAATTTGCAAACAAAAAAATGTATGCTATAGTAAAATGGAAAAAAGTTGTATATTTTGTGAAAAAATACTAGAGCTAGCAGCTTAAAGAACGCATGCAGAACTAACTAATGCAACAATAGAAACAACACTAAAAAAAATAAATGTAAATCCCATTGAGCTGTAGTGTTGACAATTTGCGCACTCAACTTTGAAATGCAATTCTAAATTTATTTTTTATTTTTTTTTCAAAATCAGTATGTAAAAAAATATAGCTATGACAGGGACAACAACAAAAAGTGTATATTTTTTCATAACAAAGCATTTTTTCTCAGAATTATATATTAAGCTTATTTATTTTTGCTGCTATTTTTCACTACGATTTATTTTTATAACTATTGGCTACAAGCATGCACTTTTTTTTTAAATATCTCCTATACTCGCATTCACTTTTTGTTTTCTATTTTTTATTTCGAATTTGTATATCTCTTTGTATTTGCTATTACATTTCAATGCATTTTCATGGCTAAAAGCAATTTGAGGAATTGCAATTGTGAGTGCTTAAAAAAATTGCGAAAAATCTGTAAAAAA